AGATGGAAGGATTCTGACATGTTTGTTTTCGTTATGTAGAGAGTGCTTTTATAAGCTAATTGTTTCTCATACAGATCAGACAGTTACAAATGACATCAATCCCAATTCATATTTCAAAGCAAGACGACAGCCACTTCTATTCTTGTGCGATTTTGACCTTGAAAACACTGGTGTAGCCATTAGGAATTATGGGTACTGACACAGTAACTTCAGATTCTTCTCACAAGATCATGTGACATGGACCCTGCGGTACCACTTGTGCCAGACAAAACCCTCAAGTTAAGCCCCATATTTTGATTCTGAATCTATGTTTTATTTTTATTTAGTCCTGCTCCTGTCTGGTCCCCATTAGCTCTCCGAAAGAGAACCCTTCCCTTAATAAATATATTGATGATTACATAATTCCCATGTCACACGATTTATTATCTGTCACACCCAAGAAAGACCAAGAGGAGTTAATGATATATATGCCAAATATAAACATATGGATACAACAGAAGTCATACAATGAGGTGCAAAAACATTATGACCGCCTGCCTGATACGCTGTAGGTCCTTAGTGTCCCACCATAACAGCTGAGACCTGCTGAGGCATGGATTCAAGACCTCTGATGGTGATATGTAATATCTTGCAACAAGATGTCAGCACCAGATACTTTAAGTTCTACAAGTTGCAAGGTGGAACCACTGCAGACTGGACTTCCTGCTCCAGCACATCCCAGTGATGCTTCTTAGGATTCAGATCTGGAGAATTTGGTGGCTAGGGTGACCTCCCCCTGGGTGACATCTTGACTTCTTCATTATGTTCCGCAAACCATTCCTGGACAGTTAGCGCAGTGTGACATGCGCGCATTATACCGCTGCCATCGAGGAATACCGCTGCCTTGAATGGCTATACTCAATCGGTGGCTATTTTCATTTTATTTTCACATTTTCAGTGCTGTTCCCTGGAAAAAACAAATGCGTACTCCTCTAATTAACAAAACGGCATCACTAAATCCTTCACAAGTGTTTGACATTGTGTTTGATGGCTGGTGACACTCAACAGTGTCTAAAGTTAAAGTACTGCGCATTGCAAAATGTAATTTGGCTTTTGTACTTAGTGCAAGCCCATGAGAGAGGGCGTGTTGAAACTATCAGCACCTGGGATGTCAGACACTTCCTTTACCCTCCTCTCCCGTAGGAATCAGGGGGTCGGGCCCTGGGAGCTGTCCCAACAAGGCACAGCTGTCTGATTTTAGTAATTATGGGATGGCAGGGGAGCCTCAGCTGCAGACGGCAGATGCACACTGGATGCTCCCCTCTCCGCTTTCACAGCCGGAGGTAGTTTGGGCAGAGACTGGCAGGAACAGGGCATTGCGACAGAGGCACAAAGGCAGGAGGTGAGGGTCCCTTATTCATGGTAATGGTTCTGCCTACCTGCCACTCTTTTGTTTTGGCTTTTTTCACTTAGTTCTGCCCTAAGATGGATGTGCCAGCCATAAAATAAACTCAGATTAAAAAAAAAATTCTACTACTTTCCCAAACCCGTGACATTATCTTGCTGTAATAGGATTGAAATATTCTGGAGAAAAAAAATTATCATTTTACTTGAATTTACATATTTAAAGCATTTAAGAATGCAGTACATTTAGATTAAGTGCTTTGATAAACAGTTATTTGTGATCTGACTGGAGGCAGATAGGCATATTTTAAAGCCTAAAGATCCTGCCTCCATCCTCCACAGAGCCACGGGATATCAGACGCTGCCACCCTGGTAGCTTCAAACAGAGCTGGAAAAAAATGGAACGGTATGGAACAGCCAGTGGAATTATGATCGGACACTTCACTTCAAGTGGGAATTCACAAACAATTTTGTTAAAGCGGTATTTTTCGCTTATGCGGGTAGCGGTAGAGAAAAACACTGCTGAAACGATGAGAATATTATCCACATATAATTTTGATAACTTATCACCATGGGGTAACAGTGGCCTGGAAATATAGGATGTAAAACAAGGAACCCCTTAGTTAGGCGGCTGACCCTGTAAACCACACACTCAAGCACAAGGAAAATTTAGAGTTGTTCCGATAATCAGCATTTTTCTGGATTTTTGGATAAAAACCAGAACACCTGGACATCATGCAGAAGAACACAGAGAGAACATATGAAGTCTACAGGCCAGGGGGGCCCAAATTAAACCCATAACCCTGGAAGAGGTAACCTTCTGAGCCAAAACGCTGCTTCTTAATTGCCTCACAGGAGACCGAGTTGAAACTAGAAAACTAAAATATATAACAACCTGGAGTCAGAAGGAAAACATCACCACTAATGGCACATATCAAAACAGCCCTGACAAGCTGTGATACTCGCTTATCTATTCGCCACAATACAAACAATGGCACTGCAAATACAATGACATTTAAAGAGTCACGGAGTACAATGCAGATTATTAAATATGGAGCCGAGATCCACAGTCATCTACAACATGATATTTTGCATTAACCTTACTTAAGCAACAAACTGATACTATTATATTCTGTATTCTGTTTGGGAGAAAGGTTAGGTCATATTTTTGAGTATTGCTTTCCTTAAACGAGAAGATGGGCTTTGGGTGAACCAGAACTAAAAAGCTAGATGAAATGAAACAGCAGTGTTTCCTTATCACCTCTCACTGACTCTGGTCAATGCAGTGAGTCCATCCTTCTATCAGTCTGGAGTCTGTCACAGGCAGCATAAGGTATATAAGGATGAAATCACCACAGGCATGCAGGTTTCCAGTCTTTTGCAAGCCTCATACATGCACAATCGCATATTATGGGCAACTCAAAGAGGCCGAATGCCCCAACTGCACGTCTTTGGACTGTGGGAGGAAACTGGAGTGTGTAAAGAAACTGGATTCAGGCAGGATTCGAACCCCTGATCCAGTTCGGATACTTGATGAAGTGTGGGGGAGGGGCAAGAAAAAAATATCCTGAATGTAAATTTCCAGTATATTAGAACAATTCAGTGTAGAATAAAAAAAATAAATGAATGTCTTTTACGTGCACTGGGCTATCTTTGACCATCGATAAACTGCTGACATTGCGAATACTTGTATGCACTCAGCAAGAGCCGAAATCTCAATGCAAAGTGATTTTATCTTGGGACTGCCCCTTTCATTGTGATCTCATAATTAAATTATACATTGTATAATATCGCCTTGTTAAAAGCATATTCCAAAAGCTCATTAGAGTTGCACCAGTGCATTGCCAGATATACTTAAGATATCCATATGTGCATGTCACACTGCACTAGTGTAGCGTGGCTGTGGCGGCAAAGCCTTTAAATAGAAGTTGTGAGAAGTTGTTGGCTCACTTTCCCCATGTTGTGTGATTTACCTCTTAATGTGCATAATTAAGCAAATCATCATGTGCCAACTGGAACACTCGCTGAATGGTGCCAGCTTATTTCCATTATTATCTCGTCAGATTATATGGTCGGCACGATAGCAGGAACTCTTTGAAGTACATAGATATTTTGGTAGAAAAAATTAGAGATATGATCTCTCCGCTCCTCTAAGATCTGATCAAATATACTGTTTGCTTTATTGTCACTACGCTTATTTGTAAGTAAAAAGCGTCCTTCCTTTTTCATCCGTGTGTGAGGCTACAGTCCAGATTCCTTAAGGGTAGGTTCAGCACCCCGTCAATGGACAGCTCTCCTTAGAGCTCCATGTGCGATCGTACCCGGCTATGGCCCAATGAGGCAGCATCAGGAAAAGCTCCCCCCGTGTGAGACCAGGCGAGAGAAGGAAGACCCTCACGTGCCTCTCTGCAGCAGATCCTTCTAAGGGTGACTGCCGCTGACCCCTGGCTGCTGTCTCGCCGTGCCGACTGGCCACCTGAACGCAGAGGCCCTTGTTTTCTTTGACTTCTGCTCGGTATCTGTCACGCGTGACGGAAGAAACACTGGAGGCTTTTGCCCTGCATATGAAGTGGATTTTGTTCCCACCAGTGACACAAGTTAAGGAACAATACCACTAACATACTGTGTATCATAGCACGCCGTGTGTCTCGGAGTGTTCGTATATATTAGCTACGATACTCCTGTCTAACCTCAATTATTATGTCTTCTGAAACTGTGGATAGTATCTAACTAGTGCAGATGTTCCCTTCTGTTCTCCTTGATATTTCTTCAGATACCGTATCATATTTCAGTAAAAACACTTTTTTCCACCAGTATTTTCCATTGTTTAACTGCAAAAAAATATCGTATAAGCAACTATTCACTTAATAACTGATATTATCTCTGCTTTGAGATTTCTCTTCTAAGATCTGAGACCAATATTGCACCAACCTCAGGTCAGAATCCAATCGATCTAGCACTAGTTCAGAGATCCAAGTTTCAAAAGAAAAAAAAAAATAATGGGGGAATGTGTTTTTCAGGGGACCGACCTGTCCCTGAACTGCCTTATCATATACTAAAGTATGAATTTCTTATCTTAATCTGAAACGTTCCTGAAGTAAAACAGGGACACTTTATTACGGAATAAACCAGAATGAATACACCGTTTACATCCTCAAGTTAACAGGCCAAATTCCATCAGGCATATATTACAAAACGTTTTCCTGCCCAAGCAAACCAAACCCCAACCCAGTTTTTGCTTTGAAAGGAATGGTAACTTTGCGTAGCTATAGTCAAGGGTTGCAAAATAATAAAAAACAAAACAGACTTTTCATCTGGAATTTTATTTATTATTCAAAAATTTAAGGGACGTGTCTGCAACAGATTTAAGGTATTATACTGTACGGGTACCATAAAACTGACCACTGCTAAAATGAATGACTGCCATTCATTGCACATCAATAGGCATTTCTACATTGATTATGGTAAATTCTCCTGCATTGATACCTTGGGACATGCTAGGTGTCCCCACTTTCTTCACCTACTGTATTTAAGCTGATTAACGATGAAGTTAATGCTCCCAGGAAATCTGCAGAAAAGATTCTGCTTTAAAAAGAGAAGCCGTCAGCCTTTCCTACCTGCAGCCACTGTGACTGGTCATTATGGCCCGATGTCCACGCGTTCACTTTGCCCTGCTTGTCCAGTCTGGCCTTGCCTGGCTCCCAGGAGAACATGTCCATGTTGAGGGTCTGAAAGACACTGGACGACGAGATTTGATAATCCTGGATGTGGCCTGTCTTCATCCCCAGTGGCTCCGAGCAGCCTGGGAGAAAAAAAAAAAAAAACACATAAATTTTAAACTCATCATAGCAAAAAGGAATAAATTATATGAAAGTTCAAAGGTGTGTTTATCTTGGTTTCCTAGGAAAAAAAACATAACTGAAACAAGGAAAGGCATTTTAGGGCATTATCACATAAACAATCATAGCAAAATATATAAAAATAATTAAATGTGGTCTAAATAAACATTAAAAAATCCACAATATATCACAATGTGTCTTACAGCCAAGTCTTGCATTTCTTAGATAGATACCCCGTAAATGAGGTAAATCTGTCCTGTTTTCACTGTGTATGTACGCACAGCTACGCCCTTTACGAAACTGACTGACCTGATTGGTGCATTGACCGAAGTGCTGGAAAACCCCTATGGAGCCCTCAGAGTGACAAGAGGTTTATCAACAGCTGGAAAAGCTACTGGTTAGCAGTTTACCAGCACACACTCTGTGGGCACTTCTTCATGCACACTTGCATACCAGGTGCCCACGTATTGCTAAAGTTACACATAAATTCTGCAAGGTATGGATTTAACAAGGAGCTGGAAAATTTTTCTTGTGTAAATCCCTTATGGTCCATGACATCGCTGCACTTCCTGTTGGCTTTAATGAGTTTGGCCACTTTCTTCTCCCTGATCTGAATAACAAGGTGTTGCTGGGCTCAGAAAGCCCCATCCTCTAAACCCTAGCCGCCGTACTGTCTGGAAATTCCTGGATGGTGGCTGAGATGGTGAAACCCCCAGGTTTGGCACCAACGATCATACCATGTCCAAAATTACATGCATTGTCCATCCTAAAGCTTTCTCAATCAATCACGTGACTTTCTGTTGACCAGTAACGAAGCTTTTTTGTCGATCGATAACATACTTGCAGCCAATGGCGTTTTCTGTTTGCAGGAGCGGGCTGGTGGTGCGAATGAGCAGGTGTAGCTATTATGGTGGCTGCTGAATGTAGGTTTAATAGGTTTAGGCCGAGAACCTGCACCACCTCGCCTCCAGTGCTGCCTTCTCACACCATTCCCCCTTATAATGCTCATGTACAGCTGATAAGGAACTGACTTAAGGAACTGACTTAAGGAACTGACTTAAGGAACCGGAATGACAACTTCACTCTGGCAAGCAAGATGGAAAATATGATCATGAACGTTGCTCTGGTGCCACAGCCACTGACCTGTGAGCTCGCAGCCCAGCAGCTCCATCCTGAGGGTGCAGTGGCGTCTGCAGACCTGCGGGTAAATCCGCACGTACTGGGCTTCGATGGGCGGAGTGAAGGAGTTAGCAGACGGCGTGTTGTTATCGATGTTTCCGCGGAATATCTTGCGGGAGAAAAACAGGATGGAAAATGAGCGGCTCCCAACTTATTGCAAAGTTCCTTCCATTCTTTTGATAACACTTTAATGTTATTTCTATATTTCCATTTCTCTGAATGTATGAAGAACCACCTCACGGTTGCATTTTGCTATTTTTCTTTTCAATGAGATGTTCATTGAATTCAAATACATTATAATTGTGTTTCATTTTTGTTTCAAATGACATTTTTTTAATTCTTCTCATTCTAATTTAGATGTAAATATGTTTATATGGGTTACCATAAATTCTATAGTTTACTTTTTCCAATTTCCTCTGTATGTTCCTCTCCACTGTTATATGTGTCAGAATCCTACGATCCGTTTAAAACCTGCCAAGTTCTTCACAGTGAAAATGACTTCAGGCTTATGGATAATTTATGTTCTCTAAAGGCTGGCTCATACTTCTCAGCAGAAGTGCAACCCTTCTGTATCCTTCTGTGTATGCATGCACAGAAATGTTCATAGTTCTCTGGTCAAGCCGCATACTTTGCACATGCACATGTGTTGTACTTGTAAATGATTATTCTGATATTACCTGCACACGTACCACAGAAGTGAGGTTTGTGTCCATTTCTCTATGTTTTTAAAATTCAGAGAGCCATCTCACAGGGTTCTCAACTTTTGGTCAGCTGGCCGTTGTGAGATTTTCAAATCAAGACAAGTTGGTACTTACAAACACAAGCATTTACATGTAATAGTTTTATTACCTTGTAAATAGTTCGATAGGGTTTGCAAAGTACCCCCAACGCTTGTCAAAAGCAAGCATGTTGGTGTTTAAAGCAGACGCTAGCGAATCGATCATGCGCAGTGTGTCCTGAGCTGCACATACGCTGTCAAATTTGACACAAATTTGGAGTGCAGCAGGTGTCCGTAGGCATACAAGGATGTCAAACGCGCCATAAACATTCGAGCAGACGCGTGCGGAGAAGTATGAACCAGCCTTAAGGGTCACATCCATCAAGGTTCTGCAGCTGTAGATGACTAACAGATTTCAATCAAAACACAGACAGATTTTTGTCTGGACAACGGGGATCAAGACTCTGAAAAGCCACAAACTGTAACTATCATGAACCGATGGGGAAAAGTAGTAAATGCATAAATGACCATTAAATGTGATCATGTCAAAGAGACCACAACTTTATGTAAGGAGGCGAGTTGGAAAACAAGTAATAAAATGTAAATTGGGATGATGAAAGACTGGCAGACATGTACAGGCCTAATTTATTGCCTGATGATAAAAACGTTTAGTGTAAAAAAAAAAAAAATCTATTTTCTTTTGTTGAAATTTGCCAGTAACAGGAAGGAAACGAACATGGGACACAGATGCTTAATTAAAAGAAAAAAAAATGCTTCTCCGGCTGTCTTTGCGCAGCAGGGTCCTGCCCGATCCGCCTCTCACCATGTCCTCATCCGTGCCCTTGACTTTATACATGTTCCATGTCTTGCCGTCATCGCTGAAGGCCACCTTGTACGACTTGACGTATTCTGGGCTGCCGATCCGTTTGGCTCCCTGCGTTATCAGGCCGGTGACCCTCATCCTTCTCTGCAGGTTTATCTGCATGGGAAACGAGATGATTGATGGCTTCATTGGCTGCATGACAAACGAAAGGGCCTGTATTTATCGCTTCCCGTTTGGGCTGCCGACGTGGGCCCATACAGAAAGAGGTCGTCGGAACCAATCTTTGAGTTCTTAGCTACCGTGGGGGTCAGCATTTTGTTTGGTGGGCTCAGTCAGGTGACCGGATAAGGCTGTGGAGGAGAATGTGTCGACAGGGGCCGGACAGCGTAACTTTTGCCACGCAAAGTCTGTCACGGTGCTCGCCAAAAGCCGACCAAATCTCTCACACGTGCTCACGCAGACGGGCAAGCACATTTCATAAACTGTTGAGGCCAATTCGCTCAAGATAAGAGACCATGGGTGAGTTGAGAGAAGCCCAAGGCAGCGTGTGTTTCATGAGGGGAAGGTACAAGCTCCGCTTTCATCAGGCCAGCTTTTCCAATCCAAAGCATCCCCACCCCCTCACCTGTCGCTCATCTCCCTGTCTGAGTCGAAAAACAAACCGAGAGAGGAGAACCCTTTTTTCTGTTGCCATTCCACTCTTTTGCTTATATATATGCCCTTGTTATCAGCAGGTGAGAGATGGGATTTCGTCTGTGATAATGTGCAGAAAACCAGAAGCAATCACAGGCATGCAGGTACTGTATCTGTGCATTTCTGCAGTAGCTTAAGTTCTATTAATCTACTTTTTGTCTTATAAACGCAGTATCTTAAAGTGAATCTGTTCACAACAACAGCCTGCAGAAAACACTCCACTGAAGGCCAGAGGTGTGATTTTTTTGTTCGTTTATGTTTCTTTTGCCTATAAGCAGACATTTGAAAATCATATATATCCATATTAATGTTAATAAATAACGATTGTTTACTGCTAAATAACATTTGTCCATCTGAATTACATAATGTTTGATAGCAGTATGTAAAATGGTATTCTGATCATTTACATAAATACATATTTACATTTTAAACATGAACAATTTAATTGAACATAGCAAATAATGCTGTTATGAGAACTTTTTTTCATAGCTGTAACACAGGTGTTAAGCATCAGTTTATTCAGGCTAAGATCTTGGTAATAAAATATTTATTAAAATCTGTAACATGTTTATTAGAGAATAAATGGCACATTAAACTCCATTAAATATACAATCTGTCTAAAATGCCCGGAGACAAAACGCAAGTAATGAAAGTATATCCTTCTATTCACAAGGCCTTAGTGATTACTGCAATATTTATAAATGTATTGTTTTTACCAATGCACCCTGGTGCTGGGAGAGCCGGACAGGAAGCAGGTACATCGCTTGGCATACAAACACAATCACAGGCAGTCTTTGAACATCAGCGTATCCTGCACAACACAGTGAGGACACAAACTTGAACCCCCCCAACACACAGTGAGCGGAAACGGGGCCCAAACCACCAAGCAACCGTACCACCCCATGTAACTATTCTGTGCAAATTAACATTTCTGGATGCTTCCATTTCTCGCTAATAGCCATTCTGGTTCCTTTTAAGGACACACATCTGGGTATTTACTGTAGGGATGCAGTTCAGTAATCATCCTTAAGGCTGAAAAACGTCCAAGTATTTGAGAAAACTACTGCCAGGAGATTCATGCCTGATGCCAATCAATAGTTAACTGTTCATCTTCCAACCACACAGACTGAAGAACATACAGAACATACATGTATAGATTTAAATATATAAATATATAAATCAAAGTAATCTATTGTTTTTTTGGGATGGACCACAGGGCTCAAAAACAGAAATAAAGGCACCGTGTACATACACAGACAAATGTCCTGCATTCGCTTTCCTTGTTTTGGCAGAGGAAACATAAGCAACCAAACAAACAAACAAACTGAAAAATAAATGGATAAACAATCAGATAAATAAATGAATGAATAAACAAATGAGCATAAATTGTAGGCTACGTTTTTTTGAACACCATGATAAACGCTGCATTTTGATGTCCATTCAGGATTCGCCACAGTGTTGACAGCTAGTTAGCAGAGGTGCTTTCTAAGCTGGGTTTTATTTCACTGAAACGGACCACTATATCTGGGCCGATGCAAAGGCAGGCACCTGGTGGAATTCATGCAAATATCCGGGCACATCTTTTGTTGGCCTCAAACAGCACGGCTCTGTGGAGAAAGGCGTCCTTCAGATTACCTGCCGCTGATCCCTGCTTCTCACCTGACTGCATGTGCTAACAGCAGCTGTTAGAGTTCAGGGAGGAACATATGGCTTCTACATGATGCAACTTGAAGGATTTATGATATTCAGACTTGAAAGGCTGCTTTTACTACAGCCTGTGTGCTGACCGGATGCACTGACTCCATGTGCACGAATCTTAGGAGGCTCATAGTTCAAATGTCATAAGAAAGAAAAAAAAACTATCCTAAACTGGTTTTATATATAAGTTAACTGGTTTGTGACTGGACCACTGTTAAACTGCAAAGTAAATGACTGCATGTCGCGTGGAATTGTGATATCCAGCTATTTCACCCCATTATATCCCAAAATAGTAAATCAAAAACTCAAAGAATCATTTAATTATAATTATTATAATGTTGTCACTGGTCACAAAGCTCTGATAAGGAAATCAAAGTTTATAAATGACTGATCCGATCTGATTTTCATACTTAACAAGTGTTGCAAATGTTAGCCATTCCAAAAACAGGTCTTTTATTAAAGATTCAATGAATGAAATCAGAAACTTAAACTTAAAAATATAGATCCTATATTGATTATGCTATCATTTTGTGCCTCCCATTCAGCTAAGTTGTAACCCCTTTGATGAATCTGTCCATTCTAAATGCATGTATTGAGCATATGCATTAAATCTCATACTGTCATTTCATGGCAACCTGTTTCAGGCACCCATCTGTTACCTGGATCCAGGGCCATCTGTCGTTCTCTGCCGCACTCCAGGCGTTCACCAAGCCCTTCTTATTGAGCCTGGCAAAGTACGGGTACCACTTCTGCAGGCCAAAGAGGGCTCGGTGCGTAGATGATGCTGTGATCTGCTGGTTAGAGATGACCCCTCCTTCCATTCCAAGCGGGCCAGAGCATTCTAGGAATGAAAGAGTTACCATCAGATTATTAAAAAAAAATAACAATCATTTTTGGTCTTGAAGATACTCGTCTTGAACTCCAAGACACTCATTAACAGTGAGTCTGTTGACAATACTTTCATTCAGCAAATGAGTTTCCGCCTTATAAGTTTCAGCCTCCGGAATGAAATCTTTGATCCCCCCATCAGATATATCAAGCAATGTTTGACCTGCTGATATAGTATCTCTTCGATATTGTTTGCCTTAGATTCACATAAAGATACATCACCATTATTTTTCTTGGTTAAACTGCTATAATCATTTTGCGTCAAAGAAGTACTATCCTTGTCTTCACTGTCCGTGTTTTTCCTTTCAACAAGGGTACCAATGTGGGCGTCTCGGGTCTTTCCACCATTTAGATGATCTTCTGCAATAAAAATCCTTCTAAACCGGCTCCCAAGGAGTGGCTGTTACTTTGTTTGGAGAGCATTATCACCATCGTCCAGCACAGTGCCTTTAAACACCCACCTGAGAAAAACACTGAATTGAAAAAGCATGATATCAACCCCTCTCTAATGAAATTTTACGAATCATTTAGAATCTCTTTCTAAGCAATTACAAATTATGAAAATTTCATTTCTTCTTCTTAACTTTTCCCTAGAAAAACACCTAACACAGATAATATAAAGTCTTAGCCAGGCTTATGGATGTGTTTTCACTTGAAGTCACGCCAATATCAAACACAACAGGTCTCGTTGAACAGCATTGTAGATGAGAACTGAGAAAAGTGGTTTTGTTTGCTGGAAAAATGTAATTAAATCAGTCTGTAGGATTCCATTTCTTTGAAACTGAAGACAGTGAGACACGCAGAGACACGCAGGACACATGGATGATGTCATGAGAAGTCTTTACACAATCTGCACCTTTTACAAATACAATAAATGCACAAAATACCTGTATCAGAGGCCTGTCTTATAAATTCTCATTGGATACAGTTTCTCTAACAAAATTCCTATCTACTGTATGCATTTATAATTTCTAGTGTAAAACATTTAGGATACTGCCAGAATGATCATAAACTGAGTCATCATTCCATTTATCCTGGCCTGGGTGGGGGAGGGGGAATGTAACAGGAAGGAAATGGCAATATGATGCGTCCATCCATTTTTTGTAACCATTTCTCCTATTAAGGGTCATGGGGGTCTGGAGCTGACCCTGGGAGCTATAGGTGCAAAGCAAGCGATCAAACGCTATTCACCCATTCCTTAGCATGTTTCTGGACCATGAGGGGAAACTGGAATACCCACAATGACACGGGGAAAGCATACAAACACCGGGAGCCATGAGCCTCAGTCCCGGAGGTGTGAAGCAACAGTGTCACCCGCTGTGCCAGCACAGCTCTCCCAGGGTGCTTCACTGTAGTCCCATTTAGGGCATTTAGTAAAATACACACACACACACACACTTATATGGCTGACTTCTGTTTCTAAGACTGCAGGTACACAAACATGGTGTTATTCATCGTGGGCAACATCTAATTTTTCTGATAATTTGCAGTGTGTGTCTGTGGGGGGGGAGGGGGGGTCTCCTTTTTGGGTTGTAATATCTGTTCATGGGGCAGGAGTGTAGCTAGAACCACTGGGCCCCACAGAAAATGGGCTACCTGCTCAATTTTACATGTAATGTAATGTATTCAAGGGCCCCGTGATTCTGCCACAATATCCCAGCCCCTAATGTAATGTAATGTATTCAAGGGCCCCGTGATTCTGCCAGATTATCCCGGCCCCTAATGTATTGTAATGTATTCAAGGGCCCCGTGATTCTGCCACAATATCCCGGCCCCTAATGTAATGTAATGTATTCAAGGGCCCCGTGATTCTGCCACAATATCCCGACCCCTAACGTGACCCTGGAGTACACTCTGGACAGGATGCTGCTCCACCACAGGGCACAAGCTCAGAATCATATACTATGGGCATTTCATTTACAAGTCATTAGCAAATTGTTTTATCCCTAAAGCGAAGCGCTTTTTTGAAAGAGCAGGGAAAGACAGAGCAATAGGAGTTAATGGCTTTGCTCAAGGACCTAACAGTGACCCTACAGCCCCAGGGATTTGAACCAGTAACTTTCTGATCATAGGCACAGCACCCTACTCTGTTGGGCCACATACCGCTAATCAGAGATAGCGATTAGCCTAACTGTGCGTCTTTGGACTGCAGGAGAGAAGCCACACAGCACAAGGCGCTAGATCAGCAGACTGCGGCTCGCTTGGAGCAGCTGAGGTTAAGAGGCTCCAGACACAGCCGCAGTCAGCCATGGCCAAACTACACCACAAATTAACAATATGCCGTTAACCCCTAACATTCATGATATTTCATAGATTCATAGTATTCCACATTCATAGATTTAGCTGTTCACAATGAACTGCTTGGCGAATTTAGTTTTGGTTTTCGCTCCATTCAGGTCAGCCCGTAACATTACCTGTTTCATTCGGTCAGGTGTCTTTTCTTTCATTTCATGTATTAAAAATCGCATTTCAGATTTATGACATGCAAGCAGACGAGCTGTGGAGGTAGCTGGTCCAGTGCAGATACTGAGAAGGATCACGCGCAGCGGCGTGATTAGGGATGAATACTTCCACCTTCCCTCATTCCCCCTGAGGGGTACAAATCGGTGCCATTAGTGACGAGGAGGAGGCCACCGGCTTTATGACCCTGCGACCCCATCCCACACAGACCCATCAATTCTCAGCTTTCCCGTCGTCACCTGCTCCATTTTGATCTCTTTTTTTCTTCGGATTGTTGGCTTTTACTTAAGACAGTTCCGTCTGTCCCATTCCAACCTGAGCAGAAAAATTCCCAGTTTCCCCAAATAAAATCTCTGCTCTCCAACCAACCCTGTGCTACATGGTCTGGTTTGCCACTGTAAAGAGAGACTGCTTCATGTAGCCCTATGTTATTCTTATAATATTGGCTCAGAGACGTTTTATCTTTGGTAATACATGAGCTGCACTTTCATATTTGGTCCTTCCCACTCCATGGAAACCTTTCTGACCTCAGGAAAAGCGAGTTTCTGCTCACTGTGTGCCTTCCATGCATCCCTGAGAGTCTCGGCCAGTGCACCATTCGTCATGGTGTTTGGAACACGCCTGGTCTTAACTTCAGCTCTTTATCCTACGGGAGGGTAAAACCTGAATAAAGATTCACATGTTGGTTATTCTTTACTACAAGATCCATAGGTAAGTTCGGGTTTCTCATATGGCTATTTTTCAATTACGTTCTGCACTTTTTCTTTTAAATTTATCTATTTTCTTTGTACTGCGTGAAGCACCAGCTTCCTCTTCTAGGCCAGTACTATTTTCATAAATGTATATATAAAACCACGCTCCTCCAGCTTCTCAGAGACATTTTTTTGTGGATTTCTGAAGAAAAACATATGTTTAAACTTTAACAGCTTCATTATAAATTAAACGTTTAAGCGAACTGCACATATATCGACACTGTGTTTATACTGCTGTTACGGTTTCCCCAAATATGCACAAAAAATGCAACGGAGGATATTCTATGTACTGCAAAGTACACTGTCATGTGCATATTGTTATGTATACTGTCATGTCTGTTTGGGTACAAGGAAATCTGACGCCAAGACGTATCACCATACCTTTCTATCTCGTGATATTTTTCATTTATGGTCGTGGATTTAGCCACACTAAGACTTTCATAAGCCATTTTAAGCTGAAGGTCTATATATTTTGAAGCTGAAAGTAGCCTCCAAAGCTTATAAATTCTGAAGGCTTGCCATAAATGCTGACTAACATAAATCTAATGGAATCCAAGATATTTTCAGTCTTAAACCCATTTGTAAAGCCCTGTGCTCCCAAGGGTGTGAAGCTCAGAGTTAGATGGATGTAGAGAAAAAGATGGTTGAAATAACCTGGGCTAATGATTAGTATCTTAGAAATGTTTCGAGAGCTTTGAACTGACAGTCAGATACACTGAATCGTGCACAAACAAGGCAACAACGTGGGTCATATTCAAAATAAACACGGGGAAATTACAATGTTTTAGTCGAGCCACAGTAAATTGCTGTGGTCACTGAGATGAAAAATGATACCGACGGGCAGATGTTGGGATTACGATAAAGTGCTTAAAATTTAAAAGTATGAATATAGTGTGTCTGACTGCGCTGCCTTCTGCATTATTAATCCTTATGTAACATTCAAGAGCGAAAGAGAACGGAGCAGAGGTGATGATGGTAGCTGGCCTTGTTTAGCTCAGCTTCTCATAATAGCTGGCAAACACACTGTAATGAGCTACTAGAAAGAGGCCGGTAAAATAATTCATGGGAACATTGCAGGATTTCTTCATTTAATAATGCAGAGGTAGCCGTGCTTGTGTTTCTTTCATGTGGGAGGGGTGCCTATGTAGTTTTATTAGAAACAGCTTAGGGGGGGGGGGGTATGTCTTCTGGCAAAGCCCGAGTGAGGGTGCTAACACAGGCCTGGCTTCTGTGGAGTTCTCCCCGCACGAGGAAGCCTAACACCCTAGCTTCACACAGAGGATTCCCGGCTGCCCATCAGCTCGCTAACGAGCTCTGATGAATTCCATTTACCTTTTGATCTTCTGTTACCTTCGAGTTAGAGCGTTTTAGCACCAGTGGACAGGCAAGGGTTGCACAATATGCAGTACAGTCGGGGAGCCTCAAGCTAAACCCAAAAATGGCATGAATTTTATTAAGGAAAAGAACATTAATATACACTGGTAGCTGAAAATCACGCATTCTGTCAGGCTCTGGTTGGTCCTTCAGGCATCCAGCTCCTGGATGATGGGTGAGGGAAAGATATTGAAGACACTCTACCTTCCGCCGTCAGTTTAAGTTTAAGCCTAAGTGTGTCTAAATGAGCTCATTGTGGCTACAGCCCTGAAAGTCACTGCCTGCAATGAAGGCAAGAGTTTGATTAGTTCCCTTAGATAGACACTCAAGTCTAGCATGTAACCCCCCCCCCATTTGTGTGGTGTTG